CTGCTCTGAGTGGGAGGCTGGGTTTCAGGACCACCAGTGCTCTTTACCATCCAGCATTATTGTGATTCTGTGATTCCTGTCCCCTTATTTGCTTTCCTGGCTGGGAAGCTAAGCTGCCATGTCAAGATCTAGCCTTTAGGGTGCCTGAGAGAGTTTTTACCTGTTTTTACTGTGTATTGAAGGCCAAATCTGTCACTACTACATGGATTGTCACTACTAGTGGTCTTGGGGAAGAGGAAAGAGAAATGATGCATTTATTATTCTATTAAAGTATCTACAGCCTTGCATGGTACACATTTAAACAGACGGTGGGAGATCTGTGCCTTAGGAAGCAAACAGACCATTCCACACCTGGTTGATAACTGATTCTGGCTTTCACAGGACCATTGATTCTTAGGTTTCAGCTGCAGTTTAAATATTGCTGTATTGTCTCTGGAAGGGCTGATTTCACAAGTGAGATCACAGTCTCTCAGTAGGGGAGCTATGTTTTTTAATTTAGCATGTTTAAAGCATAGATAAAAATGAAAGGGGAATAAACAAAACAACAACTACCACTTTGTTTTGATCAAGATAAACCAGATAAAAAGATCTACCTCAACAGGAATTAGAATCTTGAGGACATAAAGAGTGGATTTCTATCATGGAAAAGACCATAGATTTGTTTTTGTTTTCTTTTCAAGCTAAATTAATCTCTAAAGTCAGCAGTTCTAACAAAAGATTCCCTTCTTCAAAAACTTACTTCATGTGACTCCAAATTTTTATTTCAGTAAACACCATTTTGGACCTCTTTTTTTGTAGAAAAACAGAGTGCATTTGAAGTGATAATTTTTTCACTCAGAAAAGTTTTTCTCCAGAAATAACTCCAAACAGCAATCCACTAAAATCTGAATCAATTTAAAAAATACATTTCACTAGCTCACTTTTCTTTCTAGACACAGCTGTTCAACAAATGTTGCTTGAACAGCACTCATGGCATCTAGATGGAGAGCTACGAGGAAATATGTCTCGTCTTTATGTTACAATCAGGACAGTTTAATTGTTAGAAAGCTTTAGCTACAGTAAGTATGTCATCTTCATCAGGAGACAGAAGTTGAGGTATCCTACCCTTCTGTTTTATGTGGTCACTAAAACAACATAAAAGTGGCCAAATGCAATTAGTAGAGATAGATCTTGTGCAATACATTAATGCCTAAGCATAAACAGTTCTTTCTTTCCCCAATGCACTCCGAAGCTATAGCCTAACTTTTGAAAAATATATCAATGTATGGCTATTAAATGCAGTGATAACCTCTTGCAGAGTAAATCTGCTTTCCAACGATCATTTTCTCCTTTTGTGCCAATATGGAAGAGTGAGAGTAGAGTACACTACTCTTCAAGGAGAGGACTCTTTTTAAAATAATATTCACCAATAATATTCTCCACCTCCACTGCTAAATTTCACTGACCTGCAATTAAAAGATATTTTAAAATAATATTTTATTTTGCTCCTTCTGTTCATGATCTATTAGTCCTGTACTACATTCTGAGATCAAAATGCAATCTAAGCAGAAATGTTTACCACAGTCCTTTCCACCTCAGTGAAAGATGTCTGTCTCTCTCTTTTATTTTCCAGCCATTGCCATTTCAGCAGAGTGCCTTTATGGGATAATCAAAAGAAAACATCCCGGAAATTTCAGTCATAACTTTGGGGTTTTTTTACCCTCTGTCTCAAACAAGGGCCAGATGCACACTCTGAGACTGAGTCATAGTGAGGGATTTTTTGGTTATTTAATTACAGTTTTTAATTAGTGTGAGAAAGCTTAAGTGATCCTAAATAGTGGTAGCAGTTGACAAATTACAAAAGCACGCCATGCCCACAGAAAAGCTAATGCTGCAAGGAAGGCACCAGCAATCAACACTCATTTGTAATCAGTTACATTTCAAAGAAATAGTTTTTCCAAGTATCTTTGTGCATGTGGGATTAGTATCGTCTTTGAAGTTTAAATCATTTTTAAGATCCTGCTAGAGGCAAATTAGATAAGAAGGTGGCTGTGCAATTAAATTAACACTTTGGAAAGCTCACACAGTTGTAAGATCCAACCACTTATCCTGATAAAATGGTGCCAACACTTTAAAGAGGTGTACCGTCTTATTTTTTACCTATAAATTTTGTTGCTGACAGATTTGATAGGTGCGTGATTCAGTGCTTAGCACTGGTAATGTGATTCATCCCAGTTTCTGAATAGTTGTCCAAGATGAACGTTCTGGTGAAGACTCCAGCAGTATAAATCGACTTCTACAGGACTTGGCCACGCTTGCTGTGCTCAGTCTTGATGCTGTTTTCCAACTCAGCCCCCAGAAACAAGGTCCAGGGACATCTGCTTGAGGTAGTGCCAGACCCATCAAGTCCTACACATGGTCACAAGCTTAGTTTCTGTACTCCGTTTCACACCCACTGACCAGGGCCTTGGAACAGCTGTGCCTGGTGCCTGGCTTCCCTGGGCAGGGGGCCTGTGCCACAGCTGAGGACAGGCACAGCTCAAAGACAGATGCTCCAGCAACAGCCTCTCCCACGGTACACGGTTTCCCTCTGCCATCTTCATTGCGTTGTCTGGCACACTCATTGCATGTCTTCATCATTTGATTAAATGCCTGCCCCCATCAGTGAGCCCAGTGCGTGATTCCTGCACATCACGGCTTTGCTAACTCAAGAGGTCTGTTGTGGTGGACTGCCAGATCCTGTCTCTGCATCTCCTTTTAGATTATGTGGGTTTGGACTGTCAATCACTTGCTGACAAAGAATCAATTCTCTCCACAGAGCCAAGTGGTTTTGTAAAATGCTTTCTGAATCATATCAACCAGATGCCTTTTACAACACTGCATTTGTGACCAAGACTTGACAAAAGTAAAGGAGTTTCAAAATAAAGTATGTCTTAATCGTTAAACTTCTTGAAAAGTCAGCTAACTGGATGGAGCAATGGTAGGCAACTGAAAAGGGGGTGTTGTTTGGAACTGTGTATATAAATCTTTGTCTCAGTGAAAAACTCCAGCAAAAGTATTCTCAATTTTTTAAGAAAAAAAAAAAAATCTTATCCGTATTTGCAAGGGGACAGAGCTAAAGTTTTGATGCCTTTCATGCAGTTTTTGGGAGCTGAGCCCCCATAGTTTGATCAGCAAGCATTCAAAGTGATTCACTCCAAGAGAAGTTAGACACCTGTGTTCTTTTAGGAATCCTATTATTCATTTCTTAAATGTTTACCTGTTCGGATGCCTGATATTTTTATGTCATATACTTTTTATAAGCTTTTGTAAGCTAGTGGACAAGAAAGGATCAGATCCAAACTGTTAGCCTCCTGCCTTGTAGGCTGGATCCTTGTAAAGGGTGTCTGAAGCCTGGAATCAAGTTTACCTTAGCATTGAAATCTCCTGAAAATGAAAGCATCAAACAATTGTTCCCTGAGAGCTTAAAGACGGAACTCAACCTGACTTCAAGGACACAGGGTTATTACACAGACTCTCACAGAATTCAGATTTTCTGTCTGGAACCTGTATCTAACAAGGTGAACAGAAGTGTTACAAAACCCCACAGAGCCACCTGTACAGTTAAGTTTGAGGTCTGTGAGACAACCAATGTGAATCGCTTCTCTCCATCATTACATTCAACACACTCTGTAAGAGGAATTGATGAGACCTTTGAGGAATACTTCAAGGTTTACTTTGCTGCAGTATCTGTTGCAGAGGACTGCATTTTCCAGCATATTGTGCTGCTTTAAAATGAATTCCAACCAGGTAAAAAGGTCTAATCTATTGTGGTGTTACAATTTTAATAAATATTTTTATTGTTGGGTACAAGTTTCCCTAATACTCTACACAACCAAAGAGAAAATGGAGTAGCTGCAAGCAATGTTAGCTAACAGCTAACAAAAGAATCAAGAAATTCACCTACTAGGCATCACTCACTCATCAGGTTGGCTTTCATTCACCTAAAACACCCACTAGTGATTAACAGTACATCACTTGCCCCTAAAAAGAAAAAGTATACTTTTGAGAAACCATCTGTATTGTGTCTGGTAGGATGCTTGTGGTGGAGGGAGGAGTAGGTTCTGCAGCTCATTCCAAGAAAAACAATGTCTTTGCTTATAGAAAAGAAAAAAAAAAATCAGAAAAGCAGAGAGAGAGGAACAGAGGACAAATGCAATGACACTGCAGCAGCAGCAGCAGCACAGCTCCCTGGAAGCTGGACAAGGTTAGAGGAGCATCTCTGGTTTAGCAAGCCAATGCTGCAAAGTGCTAAGCTCCCCTGCTGGAGTTAATGGGCACCCAAAATCCTGAAGGAGGACAAATATTTCTAAACTAAAAACTCTTTTACTCAGCTCTTTCTTTTTGCTGAGGCAAAAAAATGACTTAGTTCATAATCAGTGAAAAGCTGATCCAACAGCTTATGCAAGTGAGGTTCTTGCCAAAAGAAGGAGTGCTGGAACAAATGAATAACTTAAGGAAAAATGGGAAAACAGTGGTAACATCTAAAATGATTTAACAAGGTGTCTAATCCCATAAAAATATAACATTATTTACTAGACTAGAGAACTGAAACGTGTGTTTACATTTGGAAATAAAAAGTGAAACCTAAATGTCACTTTGTCAATTATTAAGCAGTTATGTTTATTTCAAAGCAAATAAAAAAGGAAGGAGGGAAGGAGAGGGAAGGAGGGAAGTAGGGGAGGGAAGGAGGGAAGTGGAGGGAAGGGGGAAGGAGGGCAGAAGGAGGGACCTGCCCTTTCGTCTTAATCCTTCCTTCTTCCGTACCTTCATTCCCTTCCTTCCTTCTTCTCCGTCCTTCCTCTATCAGCTTCCTTCTTCCAGTCCGGCCCTTCTTCCTTCCAAGTCCTTACTTACTCCTTACTTCAAGGAAGGAAGGAAGGAAGGAAGGAAGGAAGGAAGGAAGGAAGGAAGGAGGAAGGAGGAAGGAGAGGGAGGGAGGGAGGGAGAGGGAGGGAGGAAGGGAGGCTGGTTATGTTGATATGGCACAACACAGTATATCAAGATGACTAGACTAGCCCAAAATTTGTTTTTTAGGCCCTTTTGACAATGCACACACCTCACAAAATCTGTGTTTGCAGTCCCTGTGGGAGTACAGACTAGGAAGACAACACCATTTTGTCTGTGCAGGCTTTCACCTTGCTGGACATCCTCTCATCTTCAACTTCAATATAATTTCCTAAGGGCTGCTAGCATAGACCTAAAAATAGAGACTCACTAAGTGAACCGGCTGCTTCATAAAAACATAGACATCTCAGACAACACAACAGACGAGGACTGATTTGGCAGATCACTTTGCAGATCCCTTTGGCAATGAAGCTTCCTGGCCAGGGACTCCATCCCCTGGGGAAACTGACCAGGGTAAGATGTGCCAGTCACGCTGCGCTGAGATCTGCTGGAAGTTGTTTGGGAGCAAAAGATGAGTTTGACAAAGAAAAGACTGCAGAAACTAAGCTGCTTTAGACAAGGACCAATACAGAGAGTAGAAAAAGAGGTGGAAAAAAATGAAAGGTATATTTTGGCATGCATATTCATATTTTTAATAAATTTTTGATAATATTTGTGTGAAAGGCAGACATCATTTTTTGATACACTCCATGACTCATAGAGTTTTCAAAACACTCAGAAAGTTGCCCTTTTATGTACTTTCTCCATTTAGGTCTGAGAATCACAGAACAGTTTGGATTGGAAAGGACCTTAAAGACCACCTAGTTCCATCCCTCCTGCCACATGCAGGGACACCTTCCACTGAGCCAGGTTGCCCAAAGCCCCATCCAACCTGGCCTTGAACACTTCCAGGGATGGGGCATCAACAGTCTCTCTGGGCAACCTGTGCCAGTGTCTCACCACCCTCACAGTGAAGAATGTCTTCCTTACATCTAACCTATACCTACTCCTTTTTAATTTAAAACAGTTAGCCCTTGTCTTAACACTACACACTCTAAAGAGTCTCTCCCTGTCTTTCTTGCAGACTGCTTATATGTCTTGCCTATATGTTTCCCAAAACCTCCTCTTTCCCTGGTATGCCTCCACCTGTCTCAGCCCTAAGAACTGAAGTCACAAGATACCTTGGTTAGAGGCTGGAGAAGGACCAAACATTATGGTAGGACTCAAGGCTCATTAGAACAACATTCTTCCCCTCCTGCCAATCCAGAGGTCCCATGAAAACCACCATCAGATGTAGGAAATTGCACATACATGTACGACCTTCCTGTGCAGTAGTTCTACTTCCTTTTCTGGGCAAGTAAACAGCTAGCATCCAGCAGCCAAAGTTTGGTAATATCCAACTTGGGGATATCTGGAAAACAGAGAAAAGGGATTTAGATAAACTTGATTTTTACAGTAAGCAAAGATATCCTTACAGCTATATGTACAGAACCTACCTTACTCCTCTGGCCAAGAGCCACCTTGTCTGCTGTTTCCAAAGCATAAAAATGTATTACATTTGAAAGTAATGTAGAAATACTGCTCAGGCATATCTCCAGCTTCTCCCTTTTTTCACTTTTCAGAGTTAACGTCGTGCATAACTGGCAATACCAGTTTTATCTGTGGAGGTGGCAGCTGGGGAGATTACTGGGAAAAATAAAAAGAGCACTGGAAAAATGGCCTGAGGAGCCAACAACATTGACAGTCACAGAAAGGTAGGCAGGTCATGCTTTTAGGAGGAAGGTCAGAAGAGCGGGTTTTGGTGAACTGTGGAAAAAGCCGCACACTTAGCAGCTGAGGACACATTGTATTACAGGGGGTAATCAATAACAGCATGCGAGATGTGTTTCTCATCCAAGTCATGTTTCGCTTTGTGCACTTTCCTTCTGTTTGCAGCAGTATGCAGACTGCTACAGGCTACTTGAGTGTTTTCTTGTATCTTCCCATTTCCACAAGATCATTTCAGCAGAGGCATTTCCACTCTCAGCAAAACCAAGCTGTTCCTATTTGTATCAGGCAAACCAGATGGAGAAAACAAATCATTAATTTATGACTTAGAAGATACATTTTTATGACAGGACTTTGTAGCACACCACACTTCTTTTTCAGTTTAATTTTTCTTGACATTTACAAGCAGCTAGGAAAATAAAATTAGAAATGGGAGATTCCCATTACGCAGTGGCGGCTGCGTAATTCCTCTCCGGCTGCAATTTCAGACCCTGCCCTGCCAGCAGCGGCCCCAGGTAAGGCTGCCTCTGCTCCCTGAGCAGCTCACCTCTGCTCCCAGCCAAAAAATTCCACCTCCTCAGGTCTGCTGGGATAACTGTGTGTATAATTTCTTCCTATCCTGCTCAGTCAACATGAAATCCTCTACAGAGGTAGCCTGCCTCCTATAACTGGACCGTGAAATGAGCTGGGTTGCCTCCACTGGTGGCTGTAAGGGAGCAGGACACTGCTGGGGAAAGCAGGCTGAGGGGTGAAGGGCATTTGGGTGTTTGGGGACAGCAGCACTTTTGCTCATCTGGGCAGCAGCAGCAGCACATGCCTGGGCACAGCAGGGATCAGCCTGGCACAGAAGCCACCTATCGTCTGCAGTTCAGGATCACACCTGCCCGCGATGCTGGTGTTGTCAGCTCAGCATGAACAAGCCTGGCTGTCCCTTGCCTTTGGAAATGCTTGGGAAGGCAGCCAGGTACCTTCCTGTGCCTTGGCTGAACTCTGATCATTGCACAGATCCAGCCCCGGCGACCAGCCCACAAGCATCACACTGTCTTGCTATCAGGGGCACTGACGGTGACTGCCACGTGCCCACAGCTGCAGCCCCACAGAGGCAGGATCACTCCCTTGCCAACAACCCAGATGTGCCCCTCGTACACTTATGAGATTTTCTGACAGCTCATGGAGGAGAGGTCTGACCAGAAATATTGCTTGCAATGCTTTAGTGAGACAGAGAGCTTCACAACCTCCACTGCTAAATAATAATTAGAAAAAAAAGAAAAAAGAAAAAAATGCATTCCCTCTTTCTGCTCCCACAATGCCTCTAATAGGTTCCCAGAGCAGATGACCTGTGCATCTCCAAGTGCTTTGGATAGCCCTTCTAGTTCCTGTATGAACCCTTGTGCTTCGCAGTTATTAATCACCCAATTCATTGACAGTGCTGACATGGAGGAGAGGTTTAGAAAGTAAGCATGCCTTGGAAATTGTGCCTGATTGTTGGTTTTGTTTGTGAAACTGCTCAGATTGTGGGAACAGTGACAGGCTCTGAGAGGACAATTTAATGTTTTTAAGTCAGATGAAGTGGCTGCTGCTTTTAGTTAATTGCCAACTCTGTTTTTCAGTACTAAACAGAAAACAAATTCTATTCTGTTCCCCATAACGAGCCAATTCCAATTAGGGTAAGTACCAGGGGATAATTGTAGACTACCTATGGTTAATTAGGGCTCCACTGTGTGTTTATAACACTCCAGGGATGTAAATATTTTATGATAACCACAGCTTCATACATTGTTACCACTTAATTTAATATATTACATCATTTTTACTGTGAGGGGGGAAAGAAAAGAGGCAAACCTTGAAACACAACCTCAAAAGCTGCAACCAGATCTCCCCGGTAGCAAACACCCTGCCTGATAATGGTGTTATGCTGACAAACTCCCTTTTTTAGGTCATCTTCTGTTCATTTATCCAGAAAAACGTGTGCGCCATTATTAAGGCTGGCTTTGAACTCATGAGCTTTATGGAGAGCAGAAAAGCAAAGGAAGCAGGAACTGGTGCTGGCCTGATCCCACAGTGCTGCCCAGCCTGCCCGAGGCCAAGTGCAGATGGGGTGGTGGGCACCTGAGGGCTCCCCCAGAAAAAAAAAAAAAAAAAAAAAAAAAAAAAAAAAAAAAAAAACACTGTGAGATACAAGTAATGCTATCGGGATGAAACAACGAAAGAATGATAAATATATGCAAGTTTTACATGGTATGAAATGTTTCTGGCTGGTGTTGGAAATGCAAGAGATTTTCATTTACTAATTATTACACCAAAAATGTGACATCATGAGAGGGGAGAGAGAAAAAGACAGAGTTTGGATTCTGGAGAAATTCACAGGAAATTCCACCTGCAAACAGGAGAGACACCTTGAATACAAAACCCACAGAAACCCCTCAGTTTGTTAACTAGCCACTCAGAAAACTGTCCTGTCTGCAGAAATCGGCATCTAATGGAACAAAGAGGGTTCCCCAGGGCACGTCATTGTGCAGGGTATAAGCAAGCAGTTCAGTTTGCCAGTTGTGCCATATAACTCTGAACCTGTTAAAGGCTTTCCTTCATTTGTAGAAGTTCAGAGTCCCCATCCCAGACAACAGGTAACATTTTAGAAATTGGTTCTTTTTTTTCACTCTACAAGAAAATACCCATGTCTAGTATGATTGTGGTGTGAGTGTTCAATGTAATTTCCAACTTTATCAGTACTTTATGATACAATAATTTCATTCATTTATAAAGTAAAAGTTTAGTTAAAATCTTGTTATATAAACCTTTTTACAAAGCAAGCCCTAACCACAGTAACTGAATTAATAATTCTCATTGCCATTTTCCTTCAAGATCACCTCCCACTCAAGACACAGCTGCGACAGCTGCTGATTTTGTTCTCCACTTAAATTCTTCTGTTCTCTAAATAGTGCTACAACTAATTTGGAAATGTCCTGCTAGAATACCTCTGGTATTCTTCAGATGGGAAAATGAGGTTTGCAGTACTAGTGGTGAAAGCTTCTTTGTATGTTGTGCCAATACTGAAGGGCATTTCTGCTGCTGATCTTCATTGACTTCAAGCCAGGACAATAAATCAGACTCATATTGTTATTAAATCCCTGAGTATAACTCAGCAGTTAGGTGCAATGATGAGAATTATAGATACGCTTGAGAATGATAACATTTTATTCATGTTATGCAACTAACCCATCAATGTCCAAACTGAGGAACTAAATATGCTTTATCTGCCCAGTTTTCCTACTTTTGTGGAAAGGGGTGGGAGTGCTGGAAGCAGTTTGCATCTCCTCTGGAGATGGCCATGATGTGCTTCTTGCCCCATAAGTATGGAAGCAACTCCAGGCCCCCTATTTAGACATAGCCTTGAGAGTATCGGGCACGAATTATTGTTGGTGATAAAAGCACAAGCCTGTGTAAATTTCCCAGCTTCGGCTCTTATCTCTCACAATGGATTATTTCAGAATAATTTCACAATCCCTAAATATAGTATAATTACACTTATAATTTCAGTGGTTATAAAGAAATCTGCAGAAACACAGCATCTCTTTGAGTTATACCATACCTTCAGCCTGAGTCTGCAGGCAGCCTGAAACAGCACTATTTTCATCTTTGTGGTACCCAGTTCATCTTAGAAACAGCCAAATGGTGATAATTTAAATGAAAGGTTTTTTTGTTACCTTTTTTCTTACTGACTTTAGCAGAGTTTGAGCTGCTTTTTGTTTGTTTGTTTGTGTGTTTTGTTTGTTTTGTTTTTCAATTAAAAAAAAAATCTATATCAAAAGTCTTAGATGTTCTCCAGCTAGCTGCCAAAAACTACAGCCCATTTTAGGCATTTTAACTGAGTTAGGACTATCATCAACTGAATTTAAGAGACACAAAAAATTGAAGTTGTGGAACAATATTAAAAAAAAGAAAATAAAATCATTGTACTGTATTATATTTTAAAATTACTGTATTTATGCAGTATTCAAACCATGGCAGACTATCCACTGTGCAAGTTGTATTATTCCTCTGTTTTGTATTTATTTTTTTTTTTTTAAATCCCATATTTAAAAAAAATGCAGTTAATGTTCCTGCCAGGTTTCTATTGGTCCTAATCCAGGCATCTCACAGGTAGTTATAATCTCATTTGCTTTCAGGACTTGAATGAAGGCCAGCTGAGATTCTGGCGTCCTTACCTACTTGCATATGGGAAGGAGGCAAGGACATCGTCGTATTTTCACAGAATCACAGAATCACAGAATTTCTAGGTTGGAAGAGACCTCAAGATCATCGAGTCCAACCTCTGACCTAACACTAACAGTCCCCACTAAACCATATCCCTAAGCTCTACATCTAAACGTCTTTTAAAGACTTCCAGGGATGGTGACTCCACCACTTTCCTGGGCAGCCTGTTCCAGTTAAGAAGGTTTTCTAAAGGTTGGCAAGAAAGGAGTTAACCAGGGTTTGATGGCTATCCTTTGTGGAAAGGGCATACTGCAGGAGAGGGATGCTGCAGAAAGGCAGAGGTCAGGCAGCAGGAATCAGGGCAGAGGCACCTCAGAAACCACAGAGCCACAGAGAGCTGCTCCGTGTTCTTGCTGATCATATATTTTTGTTGCCTTGTGGGTTCAGGCCCTGTAAAAAATGTGGGTCTAAACTTCAGCTTCAGAAGGTATTTCATTAAATTGGTGTTTCTTGGCTGCAAACTGTAGCAACTGAGCAAACTGTTTTATTTTCATTGCCGAAGAAAATGAACAGATGCACTGAACACTTACAGCTGCATCTTGAACAAGATTAACTAGTTACCTGACTGTCATGTTCTTCATTTCCACTCCTCATGACGAACCTCAACATCAGTTGTTTGTCAAAAGTAAGGCTTATTTAAGTATGCAAATGAGAAGAGATTTATTTTGAAGCTAAAACTAATAATTCTTCCAAGAAAGCTGGAAGCTCATAGAGTAAAGATAAATCCACCTGATCTAATCACTTTCCCCTTTCTTGAACTCATCCTACTCTTTAATAGCTTAAATCACCTCTGAAGGGGAAAAATAATCAATCCACAGGCATCTTCAGAGCAAAGCAGAATTATTTTTAGATTGCACTTTGTGGTTAAAGCTGTAACATATTGTTCTGCTCTGAGAAAGCACTCCATAAACATGGCATCATACAGGTCTGTTGCAGCAGATTTATCGGCAGTTCATTTCTGGGAAACAGCAGCAGTAATCACAATGAATTAAACTTTTGAAGGATATGCTTCCTTTGAAAA